GCTGATTTTCTGCTTTAGTGGAACTGAGCTTCCAACTTAGGCCTTTTCAGAATGACTATTTGGAGGTTCAAGAGAAACTGATGAAATCGTGAACAAACCGAAGGTAAAATGGCTCACAGTAGCTGATTAATCGATCAGTGATGATACCCAAATCATACAGATAAAAAAGTGTTGAATAACAATTAATAATGGGTGTCGTTTGTAATCCTCAATCGACTCACTGTTTCCCGCTTGAATTTTGCATCTTCCTTCACTCGATCTAAATCGGAAAAGAGGGCAATCTCCTCCTCCATTTTTGCAATTCGAGTTCGTAAAGTATCCATCTCCTAAAAATACAATCAAGATATTCAGTACGTTATTGGTCATTTTCAAGGTATCCGTGTGATACAGATACACCAAATCCACTTCAATCGCACCTCATGATTTAGATACCAATAATTTCATCGACGGCACATACCTACTTATGAGTAGGGTGTTTTGAACCTGGACAAACGTCGTATGTTCCGACTCACCTGAAGCACTTTCTCCTCCAATTGGTCGACTTTTACCAGGTCCTGGCTGAGTCGATTTCGTTCCTTCTGTAACATGAGCGCAGTCTCTTCAGATTTCGAAACCTCGGACGTTTTAAACTGTAATTGCTCTCTTAACTGATTCATGGCGTCTTTGCGGGAGTTTTCTTGACTTCCACTGGTGGAGATGGCAGCGGCTGCCGTGCAGGTTTGACTAAGTTGAACCAGATATTTGGAGATGGATTCTAATGTTCGAACGATATTCTCTTCCAATTCCGCAATGCTGCTGTGTTCCAAGGCCTTGGGGAAAAACAAAAGTTTGGATATTAGAGGTAAACAGAGGCCCAGCCCATTCCTAACTTCAATTCACGTCTACAGTATTAATTTTTTCTTACTTTAACTTCATCAAATGTTTTCAGGAACTCGTCAATTTGTTGTTCCCGTTTCCGTAGTTCCCGATACTTTTGTGCTCTTTCACTTCGACTGTCGTCTAGTTCCTGCTCCAACGAACGTAGTTCCTCTTCCCGATGAGAAACTTTTTCCTGTGTTTCCCGAGTCCTTGAGAATAGGTAAAATAAGACGATATTAAAATGGTTTCAAATCCAGTAGCTACGTTTCTGTGAGTTCATGCTGAAAGAGTGCGTTTGATTTGGTCTCCTTTGATTTGAATCTCTGCAATGAACTATATGAACTGGTTTCGATAGAATTGAAAGTTAATTAGAAATTCGCTAACCTTTGTGAGAACCAGATGCAATATCCATCATTGGTGTTCGGGTTATACATGAGTTAACATTACTCTTGGGGCTGTGGTTAGGAAAAATATGGCAGACGACTCCATTCGAGAGCCAGTAGAGGAGAGACGGTAGAACCCATTAATGTAACAAAATATTACACCGACAGAAGGAAAAGTGAATGTCATATCCCTCAGGCCAAAAGATAATGTTATCAAAGAACTTGTGTTTGATTTGTTTCGTACCATGTTACATGGAGCTACATGGAGCACGATGATCTAGTAGGTTTCTGTCTTGTGGAAGACAAATGACGAGATTAGCCAATGTAAAACATCAAAATATCTGTTCTATATCACTACAGAAGACGATCAACTGTAGTTTGGTACTCGTATGTAACAAAGGACAATACGCGTGAGAACTTAACCCAACGAATTTACGCTAGTTCATTTCGATTATCTAAGCAGACTGACCATCTGCTCGCGGGTCTCAGATATTCTCAGAAACCTCAGATCAGATGATGGAGTGAAACATCCAGGCTTTGCATATGAACAGAACGATTCTTGGTTTACTTTACAGACAACAGTGCTGATTTTATTAATGGATAATATGACATAAGTGATCAACACAAACAAAGTTGGTGCCTGGTCTGACACAGTTGTTTCTTTGTTGAAAGACAACGATCTAGCTGGTACATAAACCTTTCAGAGGAATAAATCGGATACATAGTGCATCGTTTACTGTTCCGTTAATCGGCCCCTTAAGTATCTCTTGAGGATTAACCGAGGTTGTTCATACAGAGATGGAGAACATGCCCACTGATTTCACGCAAGAATATGCGGATGACATTATGAAGCTAATACATTTCTTCATGTTTAATGGTAGCATGAGCAGTTCCGAAGACAGCCAAAAATTCCAAGGGTGTAGCAACACTTACTGTCTTTCCATACTGGCCATTTCTTGATTGTCTTCCCGAACCTGTTTCAGTAAGCGTTCACGCTCTTGTCCCGGATCCTCGTGCGAGGCTGTTTCAGCCACCAACTGTTCCAATCTAGCCTCGGCTTCGTGTAACTGGGCATACAGGCGCATTGCCTCTTGTTTGATCTGTCAGGAAAGGCAAAACTAATCAATTCAACTATCTTTTGGTCGCAGATTATAGAGGTAAAATCAAGAAACATATTCTACATCCACTAGACTCCATTCTTTGCACAAATTCCTCCTGGAAAATTTAGCTGATTGGATAGAGACATCGCACAAGTCACCCTGAGCTGAAAAAGAATTTTCTCTAAATCCTGGAAATGACACCATTTGGTCCATATTATGAATCAACCTAGTGGGGAAAATACTACGTTGTATGCTCTTGTTAATGCAAGCACAACTGCTTACATTAATGTTATAAAACTGTTCCAGATTTCACGTATCCATGGCACAAACAGACAATAATCCCTTCTGGCCAATCGGACCATTTCTCGCACGCAGCGCCTATCAATCAGCTTTCAATATTTTCAACCCAATTACATGTCATATTTGTCAAGGACTACCCATTCCATGTCACATGCATGTAGAACTTACGTGTACGCGCAACTGCTATTCGCGTAAATGAAGTCTAATCAACTGGCCTGTAACTAATTTCACTGAATGCTTGCTTGTATTTGCCATTCTATGATGAATTACTTGTCCATAAAAATAGCCCATTTGTAAATTGAGTGAATAGTGTTTAAAGGGCCTCGTTTTTCGTGATGATTCGAGTATCTATAAGATTCTGTTCAGACACTAAAACACACATTTTCCGAAAGCTTCCTATTCTGTCTATCGTATTAGATGCGGTACACGAAAAAATGTTGTATTACCGTGTCCGTGAACACCGGAATCGAGACACGGAGGTGCTAAACTACATTGCATCTAAATTCAGTGAAACTATACTCCACCCAGCTCGTCTCCAGGTTGTTGATAGGAGAATGACCACTTAGGTGGCGACTAGGTGGGAATTTTTTCATGGAATCACTGGCCAGGGGCAACCATGGGCGATGCCCAAGGACGTGATGGGTTTTCGCCAGGCAAGCTCGGTTATAGCGACGTTTAATCATATGGCACGCCACCAAAGAAGTACATCACCAATAAACTGCCCTGAGTTGTGCAGGGGTCAGAGGCAAATATTCAAAGAAAAAAGTCCAATAGTAATGAGTTTCCACTCTGGGGTACTATGATCCCAGAATTCTTAGTGGAGTTTCCCCAAAACTGGATTACATGAGAGAAAGTCGCCTCCGAATTAAAATTTCACTGTCGAAACGATGTTAACATGCTACACTCTCTGCACTGATAAGAATAGGATAAAGAGCAATTTCTGTACATCTTAGGTGTGCCGAAACGGAACGGAACGTGTGATGGAATTACAACTACACTCAACTAGCTTGGTGTGCAAATTTGGTTCGAATCCAAGCTTGAAACATTAATCTACGAGGTAACTAGAACGTTTAGCCACTGGCTCGTTAAAGAAATAAAAAAACACCACAAAAACAGATGTTAAAATGACAAGGGGAAAAAGGGAGCAAGAAAATAAGTTTGGGAAAACATACTATGAACAAAAAAGGGGGTGGTTGATGTTGAGGTACAAAACGGTCTAGGACTCAAGCTTTCAAAGACCAGGTGGTGCAGTTTTATTGCACAGTTATGAATGAGGACCGAACAGCGAACGAAGTTTATTCATCCCTACAAGATCTGTGGGCAAACAGGAACTTAAAAAGCAAGCACGTTTTGTTGGGTGGGGGAGCTGGAAATGAGACCACTTTTGAGATGACGAACACAATCGGATATGGTGTTCCAACACAACGACAGGTGCGAGGGAAAAACAGAAAGGACAAAAGGCCCCGGGGTTCCACAGACCCTTGAACTGTTGGCCAAGGGTTTTGGTGAAATACCTAATCTTTTAGCAATTTTTCCAGATAACGCATGACATTTGAAACAGTTTGCATTTGCTCGATCGCTGGTAATGACAATGAATCACTAACTAATGAGCTTGAAAAATCGTTCAGCGAACATTAACATAAAATTACTGAAACATCAGGCAGCTGTCATAGCTTGTACAAAAATTGCGATTTCAACGACTCGGTCTCTTTTACACCGTTTATCTACGGAACACATGGGATAATACACAACTCCCTTGTCATATTCGAGCTGGTCTGGGATAAGTGGGTCTTCTAGACATTTCAGATGGCTGTGTTCCGTGCATGATGGTTTGTGGTGAGTTCGGTGCAGATGGAGGTTTAATCGCAATTTCATAGCTGGTTTCCGTTGACCAAATGTGTGTCTAGTCGTTCCACGTTTGACTGGTGCACATATAAGGTGTATTCCGAATCTGGGGCTTCGACGAAGATTATCACTGAGCGGTTGTTTGATTACTCCGGGTGAGTGATATGGGAAGAGTAAAAACTACCGTAGTTGAAGGCACAGAAAACTTGGTTCTTTTCCACCATACTCCAGTGGAATCAGGACCCGATCTGAGTTTGTACCTACCTTGTTACGATTACCGTTCGTAGGCCTGTGCGATACGAGATATTCGTGAAACTATAGTTCATCCCGCAGAAGGAGCTAATCACGCTAAATTAGAACCAGGATAAAAAGTTTTGTTTGGTCCAACTTTAACTCTACTAACTAATGTATCACTCTGAATGTTGAAGTCTCTCGCTCTACTAACAGGGGTATTTCGGAGCATTCCATCGCAACAACCGGCTGTTTGCTAGGAGTGGAGTGTACACTGCGTAGTTTCTACCGGTGCTGCTATATAGTGCACATGACCATAATGAGAGGAATATAAAAGCAAACTACTAGTTGACGAAAATCGCTCTCTAAGCCTCATTGCACGGGTCTGATACCGAATAATCAATGCACAGGTTAATCGAAGTTTATTAGGTAATCGTCATCCCGTACTAACGCGTGATCTTCTTAGATTGCAATGGATGGAGAATATGACACATTTGCCATCAGAAAGGCATCCATTTGGCGTGCGTTCATTGTCAAGGAAGACAGTAGTTGGAAGAAAGCCAAGGGTGGTCAGTCTATGATTGGATCAACACTGGTAAAAGGACATGGTCATGTAGGTTACCTTAGGCTTTCTGGCTTAGTATTTCCCGATCAATTTTATCAGGAATTAAAGTCAATGAATGATACGACTGCCTGTCCCAACGGTGCATTTGTATTTACTGCCGATCCATGGAGATCTTGTTTCCCTGCATTCCGAAATTTCATCTTGGTTTGGCCTCTAGCTTTTAATAATTTGATTCTGTTTTGTTATTTATTATTTTATTATAATTTATTAATTCCGTAATTTGTCATCCAAACACGCAGCCAAAAAAACAGCAACCAAATCGATCACACAGAACTGGTTGACATATCCAGTGATGAAATCTGGTGTAGGGTGTGAGAGATTAGTTCACCTTACCTGTGAGGCTGAAAGATCACCTTCAAGTTCCACTTTCTTTGACGCCAACTGTTCAAGCTGATTCTGTCCTTCGTTAAGTTGAGTCAATAAATGAGCGTTGAGTTCACGCAGACGCATGTACTTCTGTTGTTCCTCATCTCCCATCGCTTGGATCAAAGTTTCGGACATTTGTTGTTCCTGTGTACAGTTTCAATTAAAAATCAGTTGAAGATGGCAATCCACAAGGATATAAAAACCGTGTAGCCTTTCTAAGAATCTTCAACAGTGAGTGACACGTTGAACCCGCACAACCAATAGACTTTCACATACATGTGAACGGTGCTTTTCATTGTCCGAATATACTATACCAATCCGATTGTCACGGTTTACCGCAACTGCACAACGTTTGCTTTTCTCAGACCTCGAACCCTGATTATTACTTCGTTAAACCACACAATGTATTCTGGTGAACGGACAATATAGCATTTTGCTCTATTTGTGTGACAGAGGAACAAACAATGGCAATTCGCTTCTGTCACCGTTTTCGACCTTGATTCACATGGATTGACGTTTCGAATCGGACACAAGTACACCAAATCTCATTTGAATTATTTCACGGGAACACGTCAGATTGCCCGTACCGATACCTACAAGCTGATTTCACACGTAAAACCTATCCATCATAGATATTGCCAATCTACAAGAATTCTCCATCTTCCGCTGGAATTTGTTTTCAACATTCCAATCTTCATTCTATTCTTTTATCCAAATGGGGCATCAAAAGACAGCAACCAAAACCAGCGGACAAAAGTGTATGGTTAATGGTTGTAAAAACTGAACTGAATTGACTGTTGTCGTAAAACACAACCGGATATCCTAATGCGTAGCATATGTATGAATAAATGAACAGTTCTTGGAAGCATAAAGTCAGTTAGTGGCTCTTTATGCGCATCATTCGTGCGTACTCCTCGATTAAGTCAAAATTACCCGTAAGATATTACTATAAAATTATTCTAGTGGTTCTACGCGACAGAGAGATATTTCACACATAACGAGACAACCTGTTCTCGAAATGATTCCCGAAATCCATATGAACACATATAAGGATTATGAGTTGAACTGACTCCGATAGCATCCTAAATATTAGGTATTAACTTTCTACACCGGACGATAATAAAGAGGTCGTGGTTTACGTCCTAGCAACTTCTGACGAATGTATTCAATCATACCTGCTCGAATGTTGCAAGGCAAAAAGAAGACTTTTTCGCACAGCTACTAACAAATAACTGAGTCGAATTGCAAATTTGTGATTTGCTTTAGAAAGTAATATTTCCCAGTTGTCCTTAGAAAAGCAAGTAGTTTTTTCATCTCATGCCACTCGAAGTCTTCGACAAGCCAAAGTTGGATACAATGCAACGGAACAATACCCATCTTACATGTTGGTAACTTGAAATGAATCAAAATATTGCGCATTTTTTCAGACGGTTGGACCTGTTTTTATGTAAAACGCTCGCTAGCATCTATTTGGACGCTTCACTTCTGGTGTGGTTTTGGTTACTGTCACTAGAATGCCCATTTAGATGAAGAGATAGAAGGAAAATTGGAATACATGTTGTCTTGATACCTTCCAGAGGAAACACTGAGCGTGAATACTCATATCAAATGGAAGTCCATTGGCGATGATAGCATTTTGTTTAATGCTTAAGATTACTAACCTATCGTCCCGAGTCTTATGCGCTTTAAACTCACAAGTGCCGCCTAGTTTTCTTCGTATGTCTGTATGACATAGAAGTTCGTTGATTGGCCGCTTCCCTCCCATCGCCTCCAGAAAAATGTGTTGTACAATTGTAAATTCGATATAAAGTAAACATAAAGGAAAAAATGAATAAGGAGCTTAATTAGTTCAGTCATCTAGCTGCATCAGCTAATGGGATTCCTCATTGAGCGAGTGATTCAACCAGTTATCAGTGCTATGCTCTGCTCTTGTCCAACAGAACTTAGAACCCTTCCACCGCCACCACCACCACCTTCGTGAGAGACAACTTCGAGGTCATACCGCCCAACACGACGCCTATCGTACCAGGGCCCCAATAGGATTGCCAATCAAAATTCAAGGGCACAGATTTTAGGCTCCCGCTCCAACCGAACAGTAACTTATTGCAACTAAAGCGTTAACCCCTTCTATTTCTTGACGGATTTGTATGTAATGAAAATACTTGACTGAGGTGGATAATTCACTTTTATTGAAATAATAAACCAGTCCAAACTCAGCAGTATGTTCCGGATATGGCGAATGTCCAAGACCCTACCATCGAAAGAATTTCCCATCCCATAAATATTATCATAAATAGTACATGAAGTGAAAATATCCTTGTTTGCGAACCACTCATGTTAACTGTTACCGAAATTCTTACTTAATGACAAATTTGACATTCATTGTAATCTCTAGAGCCAATCAAACTACATCGATATGGTTAACTTTAGCCGGTGACTAACAAGGTCAATCAAGTATTTTCATTCATTCGAACACGCTATACCTACGAATTGTGTAACATTTTAAACGGTTACCTGGGACAGTTCGTTTTCAATGGACTTTAGTGCCAGTTCCCGATTCTGTCGTTCCTCGAATAATGTTTCCAAAGCTTTCTCCGCGCGTTCATTCGCGGATCGCAATTCCTCCCAGTCTAGTTCCACGTTGGATGCATCATCTCCCAGTGTGGCTTTGTCGACCAACGTATTGTAGTCTCCCAATTCACCCTATGGGAATAATGGGTCAGGGAAATATTCAATCCATGATCATATTTCTCTTTCGATCGGAAAGCATAGTTCAAGTGACACAATGCTCGTCATTTTAATGATATCTTAACCGTCAAAGTATGCAATACTTTTTTACAACACAAATTAATATATAAAAAAAACGGATACACCGCAGAATCAAAGACATTGTAAAGTGGAACTTATGGGGGAAAAACTATATAATAATGGGTTGTTTAGCCTTCATTTTAAAAGAGTAGCATTATACGTGATTCCATTAAAGAAAAGAGGAAGGGTATTTCATATCTTGACAGCCTGTGATAAAAGTAAACGAGGGAAGGAAATAGAGAAGAAAACAGGCAAAACGAACCAAGAATAACAGAAACCATAAAACAGACAATGAAGCAACTGCTCAGTGATGAGAAATTCAATGCAGATTAGAGGTTAAAGACGGTTCATTGATCAGCAAGATGGCCTTACGATAGACCTTATCAAACTCCACTCCACACGTGTCTGCAGTACTCGGGCATTGAAGGGGATTTCGTTTTTGTATAAAAGAAGGTGGATGGGTGTAAAGAAGCGTTTGGAATGGGATGAAAAACTGAACTTGCGCACAGTGCGAGGGGTACTTGTGTATTGGACTGAAGATCGACAGAGAGAATAAATTTCGGATAAATGCAGGAGATAATCCTGAAACGAAAGAGGGGTGAGTCAAAAGTCAACTTGGGAAACTAGACGAAACGTTTAACGGAAATTGTAAGAAGAGATATTTTGAAATATTGAAACACACATGGATGGTAGAACTCGATGCAGAATTGAGTTCAAGATCGATTACATTGGAGTTATGATCGATGTTCGCGGTGGCCTCGCGGATCGTGGGGTAGGAAGAAGAAAAATAGAGGCAAGTATGATCGGTGAAACAGTAAATAAGGAACTGGAGGTTTTGAACAAAAGAGCGGTATTAAACAGAAGGAAGAGGGTAACGGCAGCTATCGAACCGTGCGCAACGCCAGTGGTCACAGGGATCGGTTGAGATAGGACCCTATAAATTTGGATGGAAGTGATTAGCTCGTTGGGGACAAATTTCAGGGACCAGCCGAGCGGAATCCAAAAGTGGGTAACTTTGAAAGCAAACTCAATTGAAGGCCTTTGAAATTTCAAGCGGGAGATCACCGATGAGACCCACACAGCTGTGCAATGTTTCCGAGCTTTTGAATTCACACTTAATTTTCTCGGTATACAACGAAATCCCAAACATAAGTGAATTAAATTGTCTACAGCTCTTATGAAGCTTGTCAATTATATTTCTGATTTGAACCGCCGGAGAGTGAGAAACCAAACAGGAGCACAATATTGCAAACCTGGTGGTTTTCTGAACTGAGTTGAATTAGCCACCACCTTGGACAGTAATTTGGCTCGGGCCAAAGAAAAAATAAATTTAATGTTTCGGTTGAGTAAAGGTATGAATCAGCCCCAACTCAGGCCCCTTTTTAGTAGACTGGTTTACTTGGAATATACTTGAGAATAATAGCGAATAAAGAAATTATTGCATTTCTCAATAAATGCAACCAAACTTGGCGGCGATGGTTAGGTGTTTGGATTAGCTCACTGTCATCCACCTTTTTGACTTAATTTTTCCCTATGGCAGTCCCCTGTTCCAGAAAATTGATTGTACGTTTTTTCTTTTCAATAAAAGAACGTGTCAAAATAAAAACAACTTAGTTCCTAGTCATTACTAATTGTTTGCCTGCAACCCTGACCTGCAGCAGCTGTGCATCTAACAAAATGTGGTCCAAACTGTCGCTGTGAGGCTTGGCAACTCCACTCAGTAATATCTGTCTGTTCAGATTCAGTTTCAGTTTGTACAACCATTGATCATGGAACGCTTTTCTTTTTGTAAAGATTATTGTGCCATGATTTTTTTGATACAGTCTGGCGTCAGACGTGGGTGAAATATAATATAGTATATTCTCGTACCGACTGACTGTGAGTATTCGTGGCCCGCTGAACTTTTTAGTTTCACGGTGTTTTGGTTTTTGACCTGATAGATCTAATTCAATCCTCCACCGACTTTCTTCCGGCAATTCTGCAAAATCCCTTGCGTGCCCGTCGTTCCTCGAGCTCCTTATTGCTCCGTAGTCTCGGTCCTCCATGATTCGTCATTCGTTTGGTCTCGTACCGTCGCGAATTGCCGAGGCAAATAGTCCGGGGGGGGGTTCGTTCAAGGTATTGTGCATTCCTACTGACTACGATGAGCTATGCGGGCCAGCAATTCGCTCAAATCACATTATGCACACTATAAATCTCAATAAAAGTTAACTCTAAATTGATTGAGCCATTCGCACAAGGTGACACCGTCGACCGTGTAGCTCAGGGGTTAGGGTTTGAAGTCCCGACCCAACTGATCGCGGTTCGAGTCCTGACAGGGGCATGAAAAATACGCACTGTTGACAAGCCCCAAACAGGACGAAACAGATGTCCAGTGCTCCTTGTTGGTTAGCACAAACATTTCCATCGCAATGTATGGACATCTTGTTATTATTTTTTTCAAGCGGGAATACGAGAGTGTTCCTTAACGCCGGATATATATATATATATATATATATATGTGTGTGTGTGTGTGTGTGTGTGTAACACTGGCTTGAGAACAAGCTTGGTGCCAACGCCACATTAATATTAACAATAACAATAACAACAACGCGTGGGTGGGGGTGGGAATGGGATACAGAGTATAAGTAAAGCGACGTAACTGTCAGAATGCGAGATTAAGAATAAATGGAATAACAATTTTTCTGTGTTTCACCGTATACTTTTTGAAATTTTTTGTGTTTATTGTTTTTACGGGGCACGGGATTTCGACAGACAGACCGTACAGTATTCGCGCCACTGACTTCTATTCTGGGCCATATCTCTGAGCGTCTCTAACCAACGACAATCCTCATCCGTTGAGCACCAACCTGGAAGGTGGGCTACATCAACCGAAGCCAAAGCTGAAGCTAGCTTCTTCGTACCTCTACACCATGTCATGGTCTGACCACCGCGGCGCTTCTTCTAGCCTTGCCCGGTAGGTGTAAAAATAGCACGGAAAGGTATTCGATGGGCAGGTATACGCAAAACGTGAATAAGCCATCGGAGGCGGTGTAGAGCGATTACTTCTGTTAGGGAACGACTATCCACACCCAACACAAGACAATGGACCTCGTCATTGCTCACCTGATGTTCCCACCAGACAAGAGCAATGCTTCGCAGGCATCGGTGTTCGAATATAGAAAGTCGATTAGCATCCTCAACGTAGAGAGGCCAGGTCTGGCAATCGTAAAGCACTGAGAACACTGAGAACTGCTGCGATTTACACCCTACCGTTAAGGGACAGTCGGATGTCATAGCGGCGCCACAGGTGTCGTAGTTTGGCGAAAGCTGCTCTAGTCTTCGCTATTCGTGATGTGATCTCTTCCCTAACACCAAAACCAGCTGCGATCAAGCTCCCGAGGTATATATATAATATCACCGTGTGTTGGTGACAAATTCCCGAGGAGGTCAATCAGTAAAAGCATCCAGTTTGACGTGTCATATCTGAGAAACGATGATTACGAACAACCAGTGTTTTCGAAAATGAGTATATTTTGTATATCTGGTAGATCACTGGTGGGAATTTATTTAACTTTCTGTCATAATTCAGTTTCCGTTCGCTTTATTCAAAAATTAATCATCGTGCACTTTCTGTACATTCATTGTCTGCAACACAAAGGTGTTAGAGCTGTTGATAAGATTGCCAAAATTTCCATTCAACGGTTATTTGCTTGTTTGTTCTATAAATATTCAATTACTTGAGTCACCGTTGTCCCGTTATTGCGTTCAATTCTACAGTCAAAATATGATTTCGTTCCGTATTTTTTTATTGACGTAAAATAAAATTAGGTCCCATGAACCATTTATGCAAAACCGGATGGTGGACCGTGTGGATGAGGAGTTAATAGAACAAACGGGAAGTAAATTATATAATTCACCCGTTTCTATAGACAGATACAGCTAAAAAAGAGAAAGCGACTCTAAAATGTTTTTTCAATGATGACGAAGAATTTAAATAGTTCCATTGAAATGCTTTTTAATGGCGACAGAATTATTCGAATAAACGCCCAAATGCTCACCTGTAATTCCTTAATTTCAAGAGCCAATTTCTCTGCCATCTGTTCATATTGCACAAAGCTTGCATTCTCTTCTTCCGCTTCAATTGCCTGCCTTGTCAATGTGGCAATCTCAGAATTGATTTCATTAATCTTGCCCCGGAGTAGGCCGAGAAAATATGGTTTGTCCTCTATTTGTCTTCTCGAACCACGTACTGCAGTCTTCAGGCCACTCAATCCTGGCAAATTCAGAATGTGTCGAGGAATAAAGAGAAATTAATGATATACCTTGCTGAGTTATCGGTCGATCTTCCACCCGGACGGACGTATTCAATGTGGCACTGGTGCCTGATACACCTCTAGTCCCCGGCCGGGTACCAGTGTTTCCGCGCGTAGCTTGAGCTTGCGCTGTTTTTAGGCGAGTGGCCGTTCCCGGTCGAAGAGCACTCATAACTAATTATCACTGAAATGGTAGAAGATGAATAATTCACTTGATGAATGAATTGGAGCGAAAAATCATTAGTACTTCATTCAACACATAACTTAGACAAAAGCCAAATATTGTAATTCTAATAAATGTCACCTAAATTAAACAACTGAAGCGTATTCCTAATGATGTTATTTTGAATAGCCATGACGTAGAAGCCATTTGTAATCGTAATTGGGTTAATAAGAGGTTAAAATATGATACAAATTTAAATCCCGTTTGAACAAAAAATACATGAGTAATGCTTGGTTCGAAATGAGCACACATGAGCCATACGAAGAATAAAAAGAAGTCATCTGGTTTGCAATACTGCATGCCTGAAAACAATCCCGAAATTCTCCCAACTCATCAGTCGACAGGAGGCGTGCTGCAACCAGTTATATGACAGAAAGATCGAGGTGAGTAGAGCAAGTTTCGATCGCATTGCAATACGGTGTGCCGATAAGCATTAACTTATACGTGAGCTTATTCAATGTTTAACTCATGCAATTCACTTATCGATGCACAATGATCCCCCAAGTCACCGCGTCCATCAGGGAGCATGAGCTTGAAAATATGATCGGTTGGATGTGATTGTGACCACATCGTTGTGCGCGTGGTCGTTGCAGGCTTAATCCAAACTAGCTAAAATGGCGTAAAATGATGGCATTCACGTAAAAGATTCTCCCAGCTTTGATTATCGTGTAACTCGGTTCACACCCGTAGCAAGAATGAGCATGATTAAGTTCACACCGCTCGTAAACCCCCACTGTCAGAACTTGCATTTCACCTGCCTACCAAGAATCCCAAAAGAAACTGAGTTCCCACTCCTGTCACGATTACATACCGCAAAGTAGTGATCTTTATTCAAGTCAGTCGTTTATAAATTTATAAAATAAATAAATAAATTTATAAATTTGACAGGGAACACAAGAATGGAGAAAAGGCATAACTGAACATTTTTGTGAAACTACCAGTTAAAGAATCAATAGAGAGGATATTTAGAGAATGGATAGGCTGTGATCCCCCAAAGGCTCCACCACGAAAGCTTTGAAGGAGTTAACTCCTTATCTTCTTACAATGACTAAGTGATATGAGTTTCTGGGGTATATGAATGTAGGCAGATTGGCAGTGAAACCCACGTTTCAGTTTGAAGACCTTACTTCCTTTACGCGTACGTGAGTAACTAATACTCAATAATTCCTCAACTAATTTCTAACATTACTCTTTTGACGTTCCTTCAGATTTTTCATTCTATACGAAATATTACAGATATAACCTCTATGCTGAATTTATGAAACGGTAGCACTATTTGTCTACTAAGTCGGGACTAGTGGGTTAAGAGACTTGCCCTTAGCACGTAACTTTGATACACAGAACTTACAACTGATTTATGTTTCCCTAGTAATACTCGTGTTGTTAAGGGTGACGTAATGATGTTCATAGTTGTAACGAACACTAGTAGCTCATTAGGTATGACTAATCCCCATAATACTGAAATAGCTGTGTCCGATCGAAAGTAGGCTCAAACGAAAACTACCAATTGGATTTAGTGATAAATGCGGCTGTGTAAAAGTAGAACAAACAATAGTTTTATCAAAACAGACTTCAACAGTAAGAAACAAGAGTAGCATCACATTGTTAACAATAGACGTATGCTCAAACCACAAGGGAGCGAGGATAAATTACAACTAAGTAGAGGTTTAAACAGTGCAGTGAAACACGGAAAATTGTTGCTTATTCAAATGAAAACATAACACGCATTGCAATAGAGAATCGAGGAGTGAATGGCATGTCGGAACTGGATAACTTTTGATGCAATACGTCTTAGAGAGATAACAGGAAGATGATTAACACAGGGAGGATAACAGGGTAAAGCGGTGAATAGGCAGGCATGCAAAGAAGTACGTATGAAAAGTTGGCTAGGATAAACTGAGAAAACGCACGGATAAAAATGCATTGTATGTGAAGTTACGCCAGAAGAGTGTGATTCGAAGGATGTAGAAATAGGTCAAAT